AAAAAAACTAAAAAAAAAAAAAGTCACCTTTGTGGTAGGTTTCCTCTCTGCCTGTCCATCGCAGCCCATCTTTTCATTCCCTGCACCACCTTTCCTTCTTACAGCAGCGCCTCAGCTAAGCCCTTCTCGCCTGCCATTTCTGCTAGATGCTGCGGGTGTTGAGAGTCCTGGTGAACTCTGCTCCTGACAGCCTGAGCTTTGAACCAACTGAGAATACTGTAAGGAGTAGGGCAGTTGGAGGTCAAAATACCTGTTACGTATACCCCTGATATGGAAGAAAGTGGCTTTTATTTATATCTGTGGGTCAGGAACTTTCCTCATTGTGAATCCCAGAGTTAGGCAAACACACGTGGACTCTGAGGAGCCTTTTCACATCTCCCGGAGGCCAGACCCTGGTCCTTGGAGCAGTGGGACAGAATCAATGCTCTGCATATGCATCTAGCCTCTCGCAAAGATCCATTTGAAGGCTGAGCCCAAGACCCAAGAACCCCTCGGAACCCACTGTGCATTGCTGAGACAGAGTGGCAGAGGGGATGGCAAGAGGCAGGAGGGGCGTGCTGGCAGGGCCCACGTCACACTGGTAGAAGAGGCCTCACCCACTTCATGCAGGTGTTGGTCAATAGACTAGAGTCAGTGCTAAGAATATCAGCAAGAGAACCATGAAGGTTCAACCAGTGCGTAAGAAATACCTTAACTGTTCTCACCACAAAAAGAAATGACAGTGATGTGACATGTCCTTTGACACACAAAAATGTTTAATTTTGATGAAGTACAATTTATCTGTTTTTCCTTTGGTTTCTTGTGATTTTGGTGTCATAGCTAAGAAATTGTTGCCTAATCTAAGGTTATGAAGATTTATATGTGTGTTTTCTTCTGAGATTTTTATTGTTTTAGCCATGACAGTTAATTCTTTGATCAGTTTTGAGTTAGTTTTTGTATATGGTGTTGAGGTGAGAGTCCACCTTCATCCTTAGGTATGTCAATATCCAGTTGTCTCAACATCACTTGTTGAAAAGTCTATTTTTTTCTCTATTGAATGACCTTGACACTCTTGTTGATTAAAGAACATACACATTTTTTCAACGGGGTGAAGTACTGAAAAAAAATGACTAAATTATCTTTATTCTAATCCTTACCCAAAGTGTCAAGGTCATTATCATTATCTCTATTTTAAAGTCAAAGAGAATGCAGCTAGGAGGGTTTAAGAAACTTGCTTCCAACCCGCATGGCTGGCTAGAGACAGAATTGGGATGAAAAATCCAGTTCTCCTGGGTCCTACATTATTATTCCGCTATATGAGTTACATCCATCCAGATCAATGACTATTTTATTGTAAACCAGTCTGCATTATTTAAAATATAGAGAAATTATTTTAAATGGATGGAGAAAACTTTATCAAATTTTCTACAGCCCACGAGAGTTGAGACTACACTTTCAATTTCAAAATAATAATAAAGCTAGAGCTATTTCTAAGACTGTTTCATATATTAACTCATCCTCACAGCAACCCTATAGGGGCGATAATTTTATTATCCCCTTCTATACATCGGGAAAAGGAGGGATGGTGAGGTTACGTCACCTGCTCAAGCTCACACGACTGGTGGGTGTGGCCAAGATGGATCCAAGGAGGCAGCCGAGCCCCTGAGTCTGGGTGCACATCGCTGTGCAACCTGCCCCTTGGGGTCTCCTTGGTTGATGAATCTACCATTCTCTCTTCAAACCTAAAACCTCATACAGGGCTTAGCATGTCAACAGAGTGGAGGCGGTAGGCTCATGAGTTTTGGCGCTGAGGTTTGAGTCCTAGCACTGCTTTTTACTGACTTTGTAGCCTTGATTGACGATGCCTCAAAGACTCATCTGTGAAATGGGAGATAATTACCTATTGTATCGGGTTGTTGCTGGAAATAAAAACATCAAGTGCTTACAATAGTACCTGGCACAGAGTGAATGCTCATAAATGTTAATGGCTGTTGTTATTATTACTGTTCTTTGCCAGGATGGAAAGGAATGACGAAGGAAGGCATCTCGTGCTGTGATGTAAGCCCTGGATTGGGAGCTGGGCCCCCTGGCCTCCAACTGCAGCCCTGCCATCCGGAGTGGTGCGACCTGAAGCTCTCAGTATTTACAGAGGCTGAGTTCCCTTAGGAAGCAAGCTTCCTGAGCAGGTCCTGTATGACCTGGTCCAGACATGTCTCCATGTTTCCTCCCCCTCCAAATTCCAGCTGGCACTCCCTGAACCTGTCACTTAGGTCCCCATACCTGCTCTTTTTCAAATGCTATAGGCTCACGTGTTCAACTCTTCTTGTGACCCCAGGCTTTAGGGGCATAGTAGGTGCTCAATAAATATCTCCTGATTCACTGACTGCCACTTCTCACAAGCAAGCCTGGCATCTCCTGGGAAGCCTGTCACAAACACAGCAGGCTGGTGAGTGCCCCTGGGCCTCCTTTGCCCTGGTTAATGCTGATTCATGTTCCAACCACCCACTCAGCCATCAGCTCCCAGGGAAGCCCTTCCCCCTGAGAAAGTCCCCACCCTCTGGTGGCCTCCCCTCCGTGTCCTGGCTAACTCTCCAAGTCTACTTCTCTGTGTTACAATCAGGAAGCCAACTGCAGCTTCGGTAAGGGCAAGTCTCAGGGGAAGTGGTGATTAAAGCAGGGCGTGAGTGAGGGGGAAAGATTTGGGGTGAGGGAGATATGGAACAAAGACTCAGGACTAAAAAGAACAAAAGTGAAAAAAAAAGGTTTTGTTGGGTTGTTTTTCTTAAACCTAAAAAGCAAAGCTACAGAGGGGATTTGAGCCACTGATGTGTGTACCTCTTCTTATTTAGCTGGCTTTCATTCAGCATGCAGGGATGCAGGACTCTTGGAAGTCTTTTGATTCCTGTGAGGAGCCTCTGAGGCACTTCGGACTCCCTTGACACACCCACTCTTCCTCTGTCCCTTAGAAAGAGTGAGGTACACGCCTCGTGCCACAACAACTCACAGCTTTAAAGCCCGTGCTGTGTACCAGGGCCTGTGTAATGGTTTCATCTGAGTTACAATATCGTACATAATCCCATAGCCAGTCCCACAAGGGAGTATCCCCATGGGCCCTGCTTTGAAAGTGGGTAAACTGAGGCTTAGAGAAGTTAGTTATGGGAAATTCAACAGAGGGGTCCCCGCCGAGATGGGCCTTGGCCGAGCTTTGCTAATGAGGCAGCCGGAAGCCTTTGGGCTGCGGTGGTTTCATTACCCCACTATTAGGTGGGGACAGTTTCCTCATTTCTTGTTCATCATACAAAAATTAAGCATTATTCTTATTAAAGACTTTAGCTCCTGCCTCATGTGTGCTCCTTACACAGAAAATAGAGAAGGCATGCCCGGAGCAGGACATGTCACCTTAGGGTGGATCAGAGGGACAGGAAGATGGATACAAAGACCAGGGCAGGCCTGGGGCTGGGCCCTCGGCAGCACAGTACGTCTGAGCTCTGATAAAAGTGGACAGAGGCCTTTCAGGGCTCAGACTGCCAGAGTTGAGGGGTCAGGTGGGCTGGCATACTCCGCTACCGCAGCCTTTAGTCCAGGTATCCAAGTGTACAGCCTCGTTTCTCTGAACCGTGCCGGACTCTGACCACTCCAAGGCAGGGCCCTGTTCTCTAGCGTATTTCTAAGGCTTAATCAGCGTATGCATGGTGCACACGTATCAATATGGGTTGATGGGCACCAAGAGCAAATCCTGGCCAAAGACAGAGCTGGGAGGTGGGACCTGCCTGTGCATAAAGGGCCCGACCGAAATGGCAAAGCAGGACAGTTCTGAGCCCAGGCGCCAGCGTTCAGAAGTCCGTTTGCTCACAGGTCAAGCCACATTGTACGTGATCAGCTTTGGTTAAAACATAAAGCTAACATTGTGACCTCTATCCGTCGTTTTGCATATTTTTCTCTTAATTTGTTCTTAACTTGGGTGGAGAGTTGAAGAGCTGTTTAATTAGGCCACTTTAAACTTCAACATCGTCTAGCTTTATAACAATAATAGTAATTATTATTATTTGCATTTCAGTGTTTCTCACAGGCTAGTACCTGGAAACACATGCACGAGTGTCCTGTGTGGGGGTGAGAGACACTGTCAACATGAAGACTCCTGGGTGTCCTTCTAGACCTAGCAGGATTTCTGAGGGAAAGAAAAGAATGGCCCAGAGTTTTTTGTCTTTAACAATCACTCCAGTAATTCTTTGGCAAACTAGAGGTTGAAAGCCACTGTATTTTCTTATTTAATTCCCACTAGAATCATATATATATATATATATATATATATATATATATATACAGAGAGTGCCAAAAAAAAGTACACACATTTTAAGAAAGGAAAAAACTATTACAATTGTAATACTCAATATGTACCATTAACAAAAGATGAATACAAGTCACAATTGACTTCTGCAATTACAACTTCTGATTATGTTGAACTACTGCTTGAGTAACGTTGACCAAAGTGTCCATTTGTATATATATTTTTTGGCAGCCCCAGTATGCACACACACATGCACACACACACATATATACACACACATATGTATATACACACATGCATATGTATAAAATAGATACACATATAAATATGAACTATGTATATATATATATGTATATAATATATATATTTATTTATGTATATCTATTTTATTTTACAGGGGAAGGACCTCAGGCTTAGAGATGAAAATGAATAATTCACTGCCCAAGACTACGCAACCACCGAGGGGCAGGATTATGATGTCTGCATTTCCTTCTAACTTGGTTGCCTTGCTTTCCCCAAATTTGAGCTGTTCTGTGCCCTTAGGACTGTATACAGCTCTGAGACTCACAGGACGTATTACAATGATTTCTGAACTCACATCAGTTGTAATTTAATCGGGAATGGGGATGAAAGGGGAGCAAACAATGCGGGGTGTGGGCACACAGTCACAGCTTAGGGTTAGGAGTTACAGGAGTTTGGGGAGAGGAAAGCACAGGTGGGCTCAACAGGGAAAAAAATCCAAGAAGAAAGTAGGACAAGAAAGAAAGTCAGATTGATTGTCTAGAGTGAGTCAGATGGACAGAGGTGAGGGGACGTGGAAAGGAACATTCCAGGTGGAGGGGACAGCCTGATGGAGCTACCCAGGCCCGCCATCATAAGGAATTGTGAAGATCCTCCCAGCGCGAGCCACATCAGTCACACAGCTGGCAGGCTGTAATGACTTGGGCCTGGCTTATTAAGCACATTTGAAAATTGGGTGAATTGCTTGATTTGGTAAAAAAATTACATGGTACATTGCATCAGGCCCCCTTTAAGGAACAAATGTCATTAAACACCACTTAATTAGCTGCCCCTGCAGCCTGGCTGGGTGAGAATGATATCCTTGACAAACTACAAAACATTTTTAAGGTCAAATATGGAGAAGAAAAATACCACTGGGTGCCCTTGGGTAATAGGCCCATAAAAGCTTGCCTCATTTTCATTCATTGAAAAGATCCGTTCTGGATTGCAGCTAATCAGAACATGATGGGTTTTCTTTGAAGCAGGATCTTAAGACCACGGTGTGTTGTTGGTCTTTATGCTAAAGGAGAGGAAAAGGAAAGATCCAGAAACACAGACACATACACACACCATAACACGCTTGTTTATCAGCGTGCTGATTTGTTATGGGAATAAAAATGTCCGCTTGCGGTATTAGCCCAGGATACGGCGGGACATTATAGCAGTCCTGGCTCTGGCTCTGCCAGCACAAAAAGCAAATCAGAGACCATTAAAGAGATGAAGTGGACGGTGCCATCGGTTCCTTCTGTGTCATGTACACGCTTTGCACAGAGGAGCACACACATCCTACGTGCACAGCCTGATACATTTCCAGCTAAAATCACCCATGTCACCAGCACCCCCGGATCAAGAAACCAAGCCCCGTAATACTGTCCTTCCGCCCTCTCCTGCTGCCCCCACCCTCTGGGTAATTATCGTCCTGACTTCTCGTGGTGGAGGCTGATGTTCCCTGCTCTGGTTCTTTAGCGGATGGCCCCAGGCAGCGTGCACTCTCCAGCACTGGGCTTCGTTCACTCAGCAGTGTGAGATATTCGTCCACGCGGCTGTGTGTTCACTCTCCTTGTTGTATTGTGCTCCGCGAATATGCTACCATTTATTTACATATTTTCGGCTCATGGGTATGTGGGCAGTTTCTCATCCCGAGGTGCCGTGAGCCATGCTGCTATGAACATGCCTTTGGTTGGCGCATGTTGGCGTATGTGGGCCTATCTAGGCGTAGGACTGCTGTGCTGAGCGGACACAGCTACCTGGAGTGTACACGAGATCATGCCTTGTGATAGATACGTTGGTGGAAAGAGCATTAATATATATCAATAATAATATATATTATATATGATATATAGAGAGTATATAATATTGCATATGCATATGTACGTGCGTATGTATGTGTGTGTGTGTATATATACATGTGCATGTATATAAAACCTATTTGTCTATTATTCTTTTAGGCCATCAGTTCTTTGAGTGCAGGGACTTCTGGCTTGTTTATCTTTTTGTCCTCGGGACAAGTGAACTGGTTGGCACAGGGAAATCCCGATATATATTTGTTCACCAAAGGAACAGGCACTGAGCTCAAGTGACCTGGATTCTAGTCACTTAGCCTTTCTGGCCTCAGTGTCTCCATCTGTCTAGTGGGGAAGATTCGCAAATTGAAGGGTGCTGAGAGGGTTGGCTTTATCCTCAATGCATCCACACAGCCGCGCCCCAGCCCCCAGCCCTTACCTCATCAGACTTTTTATTAAAGACAGTGTCTGCTTAATCTAGGTTAGGATTCTGACATGCTATCCCCCCAACAGAGGAAGGATGCTAATTGCAATCAGCAAAATCAAACCATAATTAAAATCCTGCAAATTGTCATGTTAGTGGAAAAAGCATTTTCCATCTCTGCTGGTCATTTCCTCCCCATCCCCCTGCCCCCCCCCAACCCTCCTCCAAAAGTCCCTTCAGGGCATTTTCCCATGATTCCCTTCATTTCTAAGTGTTGACTAAATACATGCTTCTATACACTTGAGATACACCCTTAAGGTAATCCAGATGATGCAAACTAGGAAATA